TCCTCCAGCATGGAGAGGGATATCCACCCCCAGCTGAGGGGACAGTCCCCATTTCAAGGCCCTTCCAGGCACATCCCCAGCCCTGCACTGTTGGGCACCTCTGCCAACAGGGAGGCCACCCATTTCCTTGCTGCCCCTGGACTCCTCATGTTGCCAAGTCTTACCTGGAGGCCAGGACAGGGTCACCAGCTGGGCTGTCCCTCGCTGAGGTTGATCTGCTCCAGGATCTGGCTGTACCTCCGGGTCAGGGCGTTGGTGTCCCTGGTGAGGTGGGTGAGGACCTGCTGCAGGCCAGTCAGGTGGTGGGACAGGCGCTCCTCGAGCTGGGCGTCCTCGGCCTCGTTGCTGTCCAAGGATGTGTCCACGTCGCTGTCGGCACCGCTGGGGCTCTGGTCACCGACTGAGGCCAGGCCTTTCTCCACCATGGGCTTGATGGCCTTGAGGAGCTGGTAGCGCTCGTAGAGGTCCGTGCGGCTCTCTGCAGCCGGGGCTGCCCCCTCCTGCTGCGGGAAGACCCCTCGGAGCAGGCTGGGGAACATCACCTCCTGCTCCATCTTCTGGGTGGCTGAGAAGTACTGCTCCATGGCCCTTCTGCTACAGCTCTGGCACTGCTGCTCTGGGCTCTTCTGAGAGTGTCACCTGCTCCCTGTCCCTGCAGGGGCTTTTTATGCAGTGCTGGGGCACGTCCCTCCCCTGCTGTCCTCCCCTGCCAGCCGTGCTTGGCCAGAATGGCCACAGGGCTGCAGTTGGCTCCAGCCCAGCTAGGGCTCAGCTACACCATGTCCCTGGCCTTGTGCAATCTCTTCTGAGCCTCCCCGTGGCCTTCACCCGAGCTGGCCGGGGGTCCCACTTCATCCCTGTGCTCTGAGTGTGGTGGTGAGGAGGTGCCTGGGGTCTGCCAGGTACTTTCCAATCCTGCCCTGTCACCGTTGTCCTTACTACTGCTGGAGGCCCAAGATGGTGAGTCCAGCCCCTTTCCCCAGGGCAGACAGGTTGCAGGCAGCACCATGGGAACGTTGCCTTGAGCTGGGCAGATTTGAGGAGTGGAGAAGGAGAGCAAGTGATGGGTTTATCCAGAGAACGTGAATTTCTCATGTGCTCTGCCTGAAAACTCACCTTCTTCTGTGCTGGTCTGGGGGTCT